AAAAAATTATATCGTAAAGTGTAACTTTCCGTAAGAATTCTTTATCTGTCATCATGTTAACCTGATGTTTTGTATGTTATTTTGTTTTTTTGCTTGTTTGTTTTACGGACAGGTGCGATCGCATAATTATTATTGATAATGTTTTATTTAATGTTAACATTACTACTTTTTCAGTGAATCTTTAAATCTGTTGTTTTTTGTTAAGTTCGTTATTTAAAAATATGTATGTAATACAATCATATTAACACTAATCATATTTTTACGTTTTTACTCATCATTTTCAATGCCCCCCCGGTTGCATCTTTGTAAAGGACTGTGAATTTTTTTATTTCTATTTTAAATATTAGGTTTTTATAATCCAAGAAAAAAAAAGTCTGTATAGAAGACTATAGAATAGAAATAACATTAACAGTTTTTCTTGAAATAATAGGAATATCTTAATAATATAACATTTTGCAGACCTTACACTTTTCTCCCCCATACTCTCACTAGATATGTAGTCGAGTCTGTCGTAAATACCAACTAAATAGTTTAAATTGCTCAAGCAAAGAGAATTTTTTTTGGTTCCACATACAGGTTTTCTTGTTGTTGTAGTTTTTAAGGTCTACTAGATCGAAGACGAGATAAATTTCATGTGTAAAAAGTGTACAATTGGAGGAATTCCAAGAATTCAAATTCTAGTTTTTTTTGTCACAAAAATGTAATGTTTTCTCTAATTCATTGAATTTGGATTTCAGATTCCCTGGTCGAGGTCTTGTTGGCAATTTATGTTCGTCGAATGAAAATAATTTTGAGTGAACTGTTTCTTAAATGCCTTTTGAAACTGGATAGGTTTGGGATTTATACAGTTCCCACTTTGCTGCCCTATACCCCCAATATAGTTTTACAGGCATTGTCTGTAATCAGCCTTCTTGTCATGAGGTACATATTTAAAACCTACTTTCAATAGTTTGTCCCATAATTTTAAAAGTCTTTTGACAGTAATTCTCCAACTTTTTATGACTCTTAATTTGTTGGCTTTGTTCTTCCCCTTTATGTTTATTATTTTTTAATTTTTTAAAAATTCTAATATTACTCTTAGAAATTATTATTTTCTGTCTCTGTTATCCCCAATCAGTCATTTTAAATGTCTTCTTTTTTAAAAATAATTCTCAAAACAAATGAAATAATGAACTTTATAGTTGGCTCACCCTGTGTATTTAATCTACTTACAAGATTCAATAATAATTAAACTTTTCACATCCAGTGCCGGAGTTCTCTATTATTTTTTTCTCCATCCTGTATGTTGCCAGTAATTATATTTCTCCGAAGGAAGAGCGTGTTTTAAAAATAAAACTATTAAGAAAGTAGCTAACACAGTACTAACAGTTAGGATCGTGAACATAGGATCGTGAACAAGATTGATTCTATATAAGAATTACAGGCTTTTATATATAATTTAATGTTAATATAAGTTAAAAACTATTCTAGGCTATGGGTGGCTTCGTTGGCGGCTTCCGTTCGTGGGATGCCCATAACTCCTCCCACAAGATGAAAACAACGGGGATCGCTTGTTTTCGAAGTCCTGGAAAGGGTCTTCTTTCTTGACTTTTTCCGCCTTCTTATGTGATAACTTCAGCCGAATTTGTCTTCTTAGTTTCCATAAAATTATTATAATCAAAGTTAGAATAATTAACAGTATAGTTGTGGTGGAACTCTAAGATGTGGTGTGAATTGGATTGACAACGATTGGTTTTAATTGATTTGCCTTTTCTTCTAGATTTTTAATATGTTGCAAATCAATTGATTCTATCTTGATCTCTTCTTCAGGTTTTTCTTTAGTAATTTCATCAAAGGTAATCTTTGGTAATATGAATGGATTTCCTTCGATCATATTCTCAGTATTCCAATATGTATTTTGAAGTATTTGAACTCCACAATTAAAAGGTCCACTAACTAAACTTGGTTTAGTAATTAAGTGGTACTCTTGATTCTTACAAGTTTTTAATATTTGTAAGTCTTTTCGGCTTGGTATCACAATTATGTAGTTGATGTTTATCATTTCGATTATTGGTTGTTCTGGTACAGCCATTGTTAATTGACAATTTTGGGTCTCCACTTCTTGGATTCAGTTGATTGAACATTCACTTGTTATTGGTTGAAGATTGTTGTGGCAAATAAAGATGTTTTCAACCATTGGACATTCTTCACAGTACAAGGTAGGGTTGTTTAGGAATTATAATGGTATTATTTATAGGAATGGGAAATAAATTGTATAATGTATAGGTATCTTGATTGAAGATTGGAAAATGTATTATAAATATAATTTTATTATTTATAAATTTAATTTGTAAATTTGCAACTTGATAATAGTTGTTTAGATTTTCAAAATGTATTATTTTATTTTTCCTATATAGTATTGTCAAATTCGATATAATTCGAAAAATTTGATATATCTTTTGCAGAAATAACAGTACTATGTAGAACATTTAGTTGTGCAAAGCTTATTGCATCTTCTAAATTGTCTAAGAATGTTATTATATTTTGACAATTTAATATAATTTGGTTTATAGCATTCTGAGCTTGCAAGAATACAGTTATGTCATTAATTGATTTCTTTATATTTGATTTTAATGTTTCAATATGTTTTTTAATGATATTTTGATTATTTATGAGTACTGAAATCGTCTCATTATAATTTTGAATAAGTTGTTTGGTTAATGACATATGTAAATTTATGAAAGGAATTTTGACTATTCTGCAATTCATTTATTGCTTTATCATATTTTTCGCCATCTTCAGCGTTTAATGTTCCAGATAGCCACTTCGATACTTTTCCGCCTAAATTTATTAAACCTCTTTTGGTTCTTGTATGTGGTTGAACATTATTCAATTTTGTTTTAGCTTCCATTATAAGATATTTACTATGATTTATCATAGCTTTTAAATTTGGCCAGATGTGTATATCGACTTATATTCATTTTATTCAAATTATGATTTATTTGATTATAAAATATTTTAATATTTTGTAATTGATTAATTATTGGTAAAATTTCAACATAATGAATGAATGTATGTTTTGTTTCAATAATCTTTGTATTACCTAATAGGAATGATAATAAAGGAGTTTGAATTGGAGTTATAGTAATGTCATTGTCATTCGTCATTGTCAGACAGGTTCCTGTTCGCAGCATCACTAGTAGAAGCAACAGCAGTATAATCTTCATTTTGTCCTTGCGAATAAGAAAACTTTTTAGGTTTCTTTAGTCGTGATTTGTGAATAACTTTATCTTTTGAAGTTATTACTTTCTTTCCTATATCATCTTTTATTAATATTTTTTGATAACGTGGTTGATCTTTAGATCTTTCTGCCTTTGGGTTTTTTGTATAAGCAGATTTTTCAATATTATATTTAATAGGATCTTCACGATTTTCATTGTTTTTATCGATAATCTTCGTTTTAATTTATAGATTTCTTTTATAAATTTCTTTATAAATAATTTTTAATCTTTCACGTCGATCATCAATATATTTGTTGACAATTATTTCGTCTGTTAAATCAAAAAGATCTAAGGTATTAAGTTTTACGTTTATTATATCAAAAGGTTTTTGTTTCGTAACGCTGTGTACAGATAAGTTATATCCTAAAATTGCATATTGCATTAACTTGTTGAATGAAATCTTTCAACAGGGCTGTTACTGTTGGGATTTCCTGGAGTCGTAAAATGTATAGCTATATTATGTAGCTTACAAAATTCTAACAATAATGTTGATTTAAATTCTGTACCATTATCGCTGTCTTTAGACAAGAACCAAAAGGGATCCGCACAAATTCATAGTGTCCATGTTCGATATTGAATGCGGTTTCTTCAATCGAGTTTGGATTCATTTCTATCTGATGATATCCGGAGGATAAATCGGGTGTTGTGAAATAAGTACATCTTCCTAACTCGTTTAAAATATCCTCTATATTGGGTAAAGGATATTTGTCGTCTATAGTTTTGTCGTTTAATGTGCGGTAATCGACAACTAGTTTCCATTTTTGTTTACCACTAGCGTCTAATTTTTTGGGAACTATCCATATATGACTACTCCATGGACTATAACTATGCCTAATTATTCCATCATCAAGCATTTTGTTTATTTGTTTCTTTATTTCTTCCTTATGTACCCTTGGATATCTATACGACTTGGTATAAATAGGAATTTCATCTGATGTCTTTATCTCATGTTTGATTTTATTAGTAAATGTTAATTTCTGTGGATCTTTATGAAATAGGGGAGATTGCCCCAGTGCCAGACACCTAAGCTCTTTTCCTTCTATTTTTTTGAAAAAACATTCTATTACAAAAATTTAGACTGTCATTGATGGAAGAAAACCTAATTAATATATGGTAGTAAATTTAAACCGATATGAATTCATATAGACCGGACAATATATATTTTGAATATTAAACCAGATAAATAAATTTACAAAGCTTTTATTAGAACAGATAAACGGACAGATTACAAGAAATAATACTACTCTTACGAATTCATACTTCTTAATAAGTTATTGTATGCAATGGTCACAAACAAAGTAAAGGATATTATCATTATCAGCACACTCTACATGAGCCCACCCATCACATCTTGAACATTGGACCCAGTTCTCCTCAAAAGTTTCACCGCAAATGATGCACTCGGTTTTGTTAGAAGCCTTTTCGTCTGTTTTCTTTTCTTCAGCTTCGTCTATTAGCTTTCGTTTAACAGACAGAAACTTTTCAGATTTGGTATTGATTTTGTGTTTTTCATTTATGTTTTGTTATACTTTGTTGCTTTGCTTTCTCCTGTTTTTTTAACTCAACCTGCTGTTTTACTTCTGCTTTGTCTTCAAGCATTTTTTATATGGCGTAGAAGTTAATATTTCGCTTTTTTCTCCTTTCCTTTTCCTTAAAATTATTTTTCTCTGTAGATCATCAGTAACTGGAGAAATCTGACTGATGGCATTTTGGAAGGCTGTTGATGTGGAGGGAATTGCCTCATAGTCGACTGACTGAAAGAAGTTCATTGTTTTGTCGGTAAATGTGGAAATGTGGAAAAATTTCTACTTTTTTCCCACTTTTTTCATTGTTAACTTCAGGTATGGCGGGAATCAACCCATCAATGATTGAAGATGAAATATTTGTATCTTTATTAGGAGATCGGGGCGTCAAACTTACGGTAAAACCAACAGAAGAAGAAGTTAGAAGTTCCGTTGATTTACTTGTAGAAACGGAGGGAACTATTTTGTCAAATGAAGACTGGTTTAGAGATCCGGAGTTTAAGCTAGTAGAAGGGGTTAGTGAATGATTTTTAGGTTCATGGTTCTCTTGGTTGTCGGCTTCTAATATTTTCGTAGTGTTTGAAGCAGGAAGAAAAGCTAGTTCTGTAAAGATATTTTTGTTTAAGGGATATATCCCTGTACATTGAAATGCAGATTGTGCCAATTCCATTCTACAAATTTTTGAAAATGCGCTTCCAACTAAACCACTGATTTCTTGAACGGTTATTTTTAAGCCTAGTCTTCCGTATTTGCTCATCCAGACCTCACATGCTGCATTAAATGCACCTTTAAACGGTTTGGTTTGGCTCTGTGTTGTGATAATAGCTCTGTCCAAAGGTTGCAGTTTGTGTGTCGTGTGAGGGGGCAAACTTAGCATGTGAACGTGGTGTTCTTTTGCATATAAAATAACTTGCAGATCCTTATGTGTGCTATGGCCATCCAATATTAAAAGAATTGGGTTTTCCTCAGTCGGATTAACTCGATCCACGAATACATTTAACCATTTTAAAAATCCTTGGACGGTTATCCATCCACTTGGATGAGCGACAAAAATGCTTCCAATCGGTGCATTTTTCATAAGTTTAACATCCATTCTTTCCCTTGGAAAAACAAATAAAGGTGGTATAAGTTGGTCTCCTGCAGCATTTATACAAAGCATTACTGTTATATTTTTCCCTCTTTCACCAGATGTTAGTTTGCTGACCTGTTTTTTTTTTCCTTTAATAACAAAACTTTTAGTGCGTTAGAATATACCACAGACACGCCGGTTTCATCGCAGTTAAAAATCCTACTTGGGAAAAAGGAATATTTCTTCATCAGGTTCTCCAGCTTCTCAAAAAAGGCCTCCACTTGTTGCTTGTTAAATCCTTGCGCTCTCTGAAGGCTAGTTGATTGGGCAGAACGCAACGAAAATTCTGGATGCCGGTTTATAAACCCACGATAAAATTTATTTCCTGCTGTCTTTTTTGTTTTACTAAATTGATGCTGTAATTTGAAATGCTCAGCGAGATCATATGCTAACGGTTTTGTTGACTTTTATTTAAATTGGCATATCGTATGAGAGGATATGCCATCTTTTTGTTGACTGGTAAAAAACGATTATCCAAATCCTTAAGGTGTCCCACTAGTTCATTTTCTAAGTCAACATTAAATGTATTTTCAAATCTTCCTAATGTAGGTGTCATTTTAACGGCATTTCCTTTTCGGAGAGTCGTGACCCTGTCTCCTAAAGAACTTTTAGGAACAGAGAAGTGGAACGCTGCCTCCCTAATGCTATATTTCCCTGACAGTACATGGTCCACAGCCTTTTTCATGCTCGTTTCATCCCACTTTCCCTTTTGTTTATTTGGCATGATTAATATGCCTGAAACAACAAATAATAGTAATATTGACGGCTATAATCTGCCTATCACGATCAATTATTTTTTGTCCAGTACTGGGCAATGTACGGGTGTCCGATACTGGGGAAATGTCAGCGAAAAATAAAATACGCATTGAACATAACCTAGAAATAATTTCGTCCGTTTGCGCATGTGGTTATAGTCTCCAATAATGTAAGTTGTTATATAAGTTATTAGTGAACTACTAAACTTACCTTTACGTATTATAAAAGGGGCCTAAAATTTAGTGGAATCACTTGAAAACACCCACGTAAACACTTAATCACAAATATCTCCACAACGACATGAACTAAATGGAAATGGCGCGTAATGTGTAACGTACATATAGCGTTTTAACTGATTTTAATAGGGAGTTACAGCCAATTCATATAGAAACCAGAAAATCAAAAGTGTCCGGTACTGGGAACTGTCCGGCGCTGGGGCAATCTCCCCTATATCCGAAAAATCATTTTGTTTTCATTTCTTTTCTCTCTTCATCGTTCATATGATTCATTCGTAAGTATTTTGTAATGTCACATTTTTGTTTATTTTTACATTGTTTAAAATGTTTAGTATCAAAATGAAGAAAATTATTTTTTTTAATATTACAAAATGGAATTACTTTTATAGGCTCATTTGATTTTAATGTTAAGTTTTCATTAGTATAGTTATAAATTTCAGTATAAGCATAACCATTCTCTGCTCTTTATTTAACGAAGTGTTTTGATGTAATTTTTTATATGATTTTTGGAAATAATGGAAGTTTTGTTCTTCCGTAACTAAGGATAGCTTCTTCAAGACAAGTTGATGCTTTTATTCTAATTATATTTTGTAAATTAAATGATAATCCTCTTATAAAAGTTCTTAAAGTTGCTTGTTCATATTGTCTTAAGTAAAGGAATTTATTTTTTGAACTAAATTACTTCTTAAAATTTATAATCGTTTTCCGAAATTTAAAGGATTTTCGTTTTTATTGGGCATGGCCAATAATAAGTCTTGTTCTAGACATTCGAGATTTCTTTTATCGCCAAAGCAATCTATAAGTGCATTTTTAATTTGTACCCATGTTTTAAGTTCTAAGCGGTTTCCAACTAAAATTTGGGTTCTTTGGGCTAGCTTAATTCGTACGATTCTGATTAAATAGATTTTTAATGCTTCCTCATTTGTTATTCCGTACGTTTCTAATAAGAAATCGATTGTCGATATAAAACTAGTTAAACAATGTGGATTTCCGTCGTATGGTGGAATTGTATCAACGTACATTCGCAATAACATGAAATTTGGGTTATTAGTTGTAATTTTGGTTCTTGATTTTTAATTAGTGAATTACGAAAAATCACTACAACCCGAGAACAAGAATAATATAGCCTCCTTAGGCAAATTTAAAACAATCTATTCTTACAACGATAAGACAAAACAATTATTTACTAAATTAGTTACAAACTTTACTTTGAATGTGGTAGACACTGATTCAGTTTTGAAACTAAAATAATTTCGGAATTCCATTGTCTTTATTTATTTTGCTTGCACAACGTTTCGGTCAGAAGTATCACTGACCGTTATCAAGTGTGAACTTATTCAAGTTCTTTAAATTTGATATTAAACGGGTTTCACCCGAAGGCTTCTTTACCAAAAAATAACTTGACACAAGCTGATTTGGTAAAACTATGCATGTATTATTACGCCTATTTTTAAGAGGCTACTGATGTCCTTAAAGTTAGAAAGGGGCTTTCTAACACCCTTAATACATGACAAAATTTCTTTATTGGAAGTAATAGTTTTCGAAATAGAAATAATAAGTAAATAATAGTTTTCGAAATAGAAATAATAATATTCCTGCAAACTGGAGTTACTTACTATTATTTCCTCGTGCGCCCGGAACTGTGGTTGCATCGTCTTGTTGTGGAACCCTTGAGGAACGATATGGCCCTTTCGTTCTTCTCGTCTCCCTCTACTGACAGAAAGGACGATATCGGTTTTCCGAATAGGAACCTGTCCCTCCACCTCTTTTTTTCCGTAGAAAAATACACAATATTTATTTTATTCAATTTTTATTATTTTAAGACGTTTAAATACCCAACGTTTTTAAGCTATGAGCTAATTGTTTTTGAAGAGCCGGTTTTGTGATAAGATGAAAGATGACGCACAACCTTAAGGTTTATATCAGGCGGATTTAAATTATTTAAAATTTCCGGAATTATATTTTGATCATAAAGATTTTTACGATCATCCTCAGAAATATGATGAGATAAAATGTTAGATAATCTAGAACATAGTGCCCGTATGTAACTCTAAATTATTATCTTTCTATTATTACCTATCTATTATTAAATCAGGTAAGCCTACGTCGTATATCTAGGATGTCTCTATTTAATTGACGAGGTATCTATTTTACATAATTATTATAGGTATTGTTACATTTCATAAATTGTATTATATTCATCATTGAGTATGGAATTGATAGTTTGGGATAAAATATCACTGCGAACCTGATTTATAGACGTTTGTTTAGAGTCCTCCCCTATCTCTGAATACTCTTCACCGTAACCATAACTTGGTGGTGGTGAATTTAAAGATTCTATACCTTTACCATGACTCTCTGGTCCTTAATAATTAAGATCGTGACTGTTTGGTGGTGAACACCAAAAAAGGGGGGGGGACGGGTGTGCTGGGCATATTTTGCGGAGAAAAATTATCTTCATCACGTGGCGATTGAGATTGGCTGTCCTGAAACAAATTTTAAAATATTCTTAGAAATCCTCGTCAAATCTAATTTTTTCGATTTTTTTTAGTACTTAAATATTACAATTAATATATACCCGACTATAAAAGCTTTCTTATTCTTTAGGTTCCTGATACGGAAGCAGAATGGAGAAAAATACAAACAGGATTACAACAATACTGCTCCTCTTCTCATCGCAGAGATAAATCTACCCTTTAATACTTCTATTAAATTTATTCCAAATTTACACTGAGATGCTTTGTATTTAATTTTTACATACCATTGTCTATTGGATTCTCTTTCTAATTGACTTAGGTTAAGGTTATAGAAATCTAAACGTTGCGTGAAAAATTAAAGCAAAATGGGCTCTCGCAAAAATGTAATAGTGCTTGTTCTTCATTTTGTAATATAATGAAATGATAGCAAAAGTTAAGCATGCCAGAGAAAAAGTTATATTAAGGAACCTTGTGACTATAAAGATTAAAAGTTTTGATGAGCTTGAAGTGGCGGGTTTGGAAAAGCTAATACTACGAATAGTACTAGTTTTGGATATACTAATGGCTGGCAACGGTTAGTTTTGGGTTGATATTTTCATATTGTTACGTTTTTCGTCGGTTCCGTGTGGATAGAAAGTCACAATTTATTTAAACACTATTTATTTAACACTAATTAACAAAAATAATAACGATAAAAGACTTAATGAACTATTTACAAACGATTTATAACTAAGAATTTATTTTAGGCTACAGCCGCCGGCTTTTATACCGACAGCTAAAGATCTTTGCTTATAGATCGTTAGGTGCATAGAGAAGGTTTCGATTGTTCTCGTATGTACTACTCTATTCCAGTGGAACTCGTTTCTTCTCGAATCTTCGAATGAATCATTACGGTGTCTTTTCTTTAATGCGACGTTAAGGTCATCCGAGGCTATATAGTTAGGTTAGGTCGAGTCCACACCGGTCCGCAACACTGCCCCCTTCTTAGGTACATGCTCGTCCCGAGATGTACACGGTGAATGAAGGTATTTGCAAAGCTGGCCCCTGGTACATTGCGAAGTCTGGTAGAAATAGTAGTCTACAGTTTCCTCTCCCGATATCAGCTTTGGGTTGTAGCAGCAAACAAGGATCTCGATTCCCGTAAATCTGAACAAGACTTCAATCATATTCCGGATTGTACGCCAACTCAAACCATCGAGTCCACACGCCAGCTTCGGAATGGCTAATCGTGCAATGTTGTTGTTTAGCAGGGCTTCTCTCAGTTCAATGAGGGTCTTCCATAGAATGAGATAAGTCGGCTTACTCGGGGACCATTCCTTGATGACCAGGTAGAAGATGTGTCTTGCTTGACCATGTGCATTGTCGGTTAGCCTCAAGACGCTTCCAACCACTGGATCCTGTCGGCGTAGTTCTCCGACACGCCCAAACTTCTCATTGAACGTCGCAGCGATTCCTCTGGACATCCGCAAATCTCGGGCCACACAATGAGCGAGCGAATAATCAGGAGGCACGGAAAAGAGGTCTCGTTGATCTTCTTCGGTTACACCATAGCGAGCCTTCT